TCCAACAATCAGACACTGCCAGGGAAGGATGCACTGGGCAAATGTCACAATTTCTGTTGTGTGTGTCAGGAGAAGGTGCCCAGACTTGTCTCCTGCTTGGGAGGAACACCAGACCTGTAAATGCCAAGTATCACAAAGCCTCTTGTCAATCTTTCCTCCCCTGCCACCCACGGCCCTCCTGACCCTGACACACACACAGGCTGTGATCACATTTGTTGGTGGGATCAGGTACAAGACACGGGGACACTAAAAATCCCAACCAACCACAAGTCAAAAATCATAAGGTCTGAAAGAAAGCAAAAAAAACCCACAAAATCAAAAACAAAACACCAGAAATGGACTGTATAAAATAAACTGTCTGAGCTTCATCCCCATTGATCAGGTTACATAAAACACTTAATCACATAAGAAACCCATAAATGAATTATGCAGGGAAAGCTGCAACTGTGAAGGAAAGGAAAAATAATCCAAACTAAACCAATATCTTCTATTTTTCTATGATAATAAATTCAATTTAAATTCAAAACAAGGCAGTTGCATGTTCAGGAAACACATACTTGAAGCTGGAATATTACTTGTTCATAGGGACTATAGCCCTGCTTAAGGGATGCTGTCCAAGATGTTAGGTTAGATATTAGAAAAATAATCTTTACTGTGAGGGTGGTGAGGCATTGGCACACGCTGCCCAGAGAAGTTGTGGATGTCCCATCCCTGGAATTGTTTAATGCCAGGCTGGATGGGGCCCCGAGCAACCTGATGGAGTGGAAGGTGTCCCTGCCCACAGAAGGGGGATTGGAATCAGATGATCTTTAAGATTCCTTCCAATCGAAATTGTTCTATGATTCTATGGATTTTTATCTGTACAGTCAAGATCACATGGTGACTGTAATCAGAATGGAACTCCTTACTCAGGATATTTCACATTTTAAAACTTTATAATGTTTCAAATGCAAATGGTCAAATTATCAGGAAAGGAATTAATCAATAGCTGTTAAAGATTTAATAAGTATCTCCTGTATCAAGAAGACTTTGAGCTTTAAGTCACTGAAGGTTGGGAGAATTTGATGAATCATAGAATCATAAAGGCTGGAAAAGATCTTCAAGATCGTCAGGTCCAACCTTTGACTGAACACCACCAGGTCAGCTTAACCCTGGCACAAAGTGCCACATCCAATCACTAATGATCACTTGTGCTCTTGACTGTTGTTCTGTTTTCAGTAGCTGAGCAACACAATCAACCATTGCATCATCCCCCAAGAAGGGAAACACTGCTTTATTCCTCTGGGCTCTTGCCTCTTTATTCATTGACAGATTCTAAGGCTGGAAAGCACAGTAAGTCCACAGGATTTAAGGAATCTCTACAGCAAAGTCTGTGTGCTCAGTCCAGCAACCTTTGCCTGATAGAAATGTGTCTTGGTAAAGAGGAAGGCACCCTCTGTTGCAATGACTTCTTCCAAGAACAGGGAGCAGTCAAGTCATCATTCCTTCTCTCTTTCTTTGGCTAACAGGATTGAGATGATTAAGCTGTCACTGGAAAGCACATTTTCTAAACATCAGATCCATTTAGCATCTTTCTCAAAGTTTGTCACCTCTATTTTCCTATAAATAACGCTTCGGGCTTAGGATTCCAACAGCCTTGATTGTCACTTTGGGTAAGTGTGCACTCATCCAAATGAGTCAAGAGAAGGGCACAGAAGGTCAGTCTAGGTTGAAGAAATATTGACACTGTACAAAGTTGTTTTTAACAAAAATGCTTCTCCCAGACTGCTGCTGCAATCCTGTCCTTTTACATGGGCACTGATGTTGACTGTGGCAGCAAGAAGAGCAGCTGCAGTGCTGCTGCAGGGTGTGCACAGCGTGACCCAAGAGTTCCTGGGCTATTTTCCTAAGGTGTCAGCAAACAAACACACAGACAGAAGTCCTCAGGAGCTTCTCTGCATTCTCTGTAGATGCTCTTCCCTCTCCCTGCCAGACAAAACTGCCCCAAGGGAGCAGTGACACACTTATGGCAGGGGCCTGGACAGCCTCAGAGCTCTCCTGAACATCTGGGCCCTCTGCACGCACTGAGACAGAGCCAGGGGTGGCACAACTGTCTGCAAAACTCATGGGGAAAAACTGCTTTTTACTTCTCAAGATTCACAAAGTGATTTTTGCCGTGGAAGGAATGGGCTTGCCTGTCCAAGGCGCGTCTGAGCTGTGGTGTTGAGGCGAACCATTGATTCAGCATCATTATTGCAAAAGTAGAAACATCAACCAAATAAAAATAAAAAAAAAATAAAAAAGGAAGAACACTTTATATGCTAATGATCAAAACAATATTAATAATCATAGATATTAATGGCATCATTTCTTTGACTCAGTGAATAGTGACCTTCATAATTCTCACTGCCACTCAGGAAAGCTAAAGAAGCCCCTACCTTTAATATCCTGGAAATGGCACTTAAACCACTGGAATGGAGAAGCTGGTGCTGTTTCTTTTTGGCTCCTGAATTATCCAGCATAGAACAAACTCTTTATGACATGTTAGATGGAAGTTCTTGGCAGTCATCACTGAACTTGGGATTTTATTCAGTGATTTGTCCTGTGCCAACCACAGTAGTTAGTAACTAGTTCCCTAACTTGCTTTCTTCTCTCTCCTCTCTGCAGAGTCATGCAGAGCTGCTACACACTAAAATCCAGCTGTTCTCTCTCTCCCTGAAGTACGTAAGACAGTTTTATATGAACCATTTTCTTGTGGCAGTCGAATCTTTAAACCCACTGATATTTTAAAATCCACTTACATTTTAAAACCCACTTGCATTAAAGTTCAGAATAGAATTGCATGCATCACTGTGGACATGGAAATCCTGAAAACATTCTGTTCTGGAAATCTTCAGACTATAAATATGAAATCTGTTGCACACCATTTGGGTTAGGAACCATTTCTAAAGATCAGAAATCATACTTGTTCCAGTATAGATTAATGCAGGTTCTGCCTACGTTTGTACTGTTGGAAAGTAACTCTTGTTTTAGAAGCTTAATAATTAGTTTCAAAAGTGATGATGAAAAGTAGAGGATTATATTTTTTCCTGGGGCTCTCATTAGTATCTTTAGGTTCACTTCCCCCAAGACATGGATCTCTTAACAGATTAACTTTAGTTTTCCAACAGAGTTTTATTGTAAGAATATTTTGGCTCTCTGACTTTCTCCACTTTAGGGGTTTAGATTAAAATATGTCTAGATGTAGCCAACTGATGATAAGATTTGTAATTTCTAGTAGATAGGAATATTTAACTGTGTTAAAAGAAATTGTATTATATTGCAGATTATCATGATGTAACACATTTCCAAACTAATGCAGAGTAAAACCAGAGTAATGCAATTAAAATTATTGTAGTTGCTCCAGATTTAAATTATCAGAACAGATCATTGTTTGCACCCATAAGCAGTGTCTCATGTAAAAGAGGGATAAAAATATATATATAAATTACAGATAGGTAGATAGATGTGCTGTAAGAACATTGATATTCAGTCAACTAAAGGACTGTTTTCCTGATATCCTCACTTCAGGGCTGGCCAAACACCTAAGAAAAATATTTAGAGCTTTTTCTCCTTGCAATAATGTAGAGCTTTTGATCATCCTCATCCAAACCCAGTGAGGTGGTAGATATCCTTCCACAATTTCTTTTTTTTTTCTCATGTATTTGTATAATGACCTCTTGTACCCAAATTTTAGCATCTGCAACATGCCAGAAGGAGTTCCAAAGGTTAAAAAGTGTGAAGAATCATCTTTCTGTGATTGTTTTGAACCACCTCCTTCTAGTTTCTAGCAGAAAGAGGGCAATTCCTTCATCCTCAGGTGGAAGGAGAGCACTGCCAAGTAGCACTGAACTCTTGTAAAACCAAATAATTAATAAAATCTATTAATCCTTTGTGCTTCCCTTAGTTCAGGCTAACAGATCTCTACTTAAATTGTTGCAGAAGGTCCCAGTGAGCCTCAGTATCATTCAGGATCTACAGGAGTGATGTCACATGTGCTTCATTCAAGTCTGAGGACATGAAGGGTCTCTAAACTAAGAATTGTGCCCACCCTCCATTGTTTTCTGCCTCAGGGCTCCCACTTTTTCTCTGCAGGAAATGTCCCACTGATATTTTTAGGTTCAGATTTTACTATTTGGAACCTTTCCCACAGCATCAGCCACACAGATCCCCTCTGGGTGGTAGAAAAATCTGCAAATCTCATAAACTCCCCTTAAATAATGGCCTGGAAACCTTCTAAAGAAGGAGATACCCAGAGATGCTTTGTTGTATCAGAAGGAGGTTATCAGAAATAATTTATGAGTCATTTTTCAGGGGTAATGAGGCAAAAGAAAGGAAAATAAAAACTTTCTTTTTGTCTTATACTTTACATTTAAAGCACAGTCTTTACAGAGACAATATGTCACAGTTTAAACTTCACCCATGGGATGAAGTTGCTTTGATATCTCACCTGTGTTGCCAAGTTTACAGCCCAGTCCTTCTACTAGAGACCAACACTCCTTTTAGGGGTAGATGCAGGGCAAAGGTGTCCAAAAATCCCTTTTTATTTTTCATCCCTACTGAAATCTCCTGTTGTTTGTCTTTCTGCTCCTCAAGAGAGTCTCTTTGGAACATCTCAGAAGGTAGATGTGCTCTGGAACATCTCTGGGCTGCTGGGTTGTCCCTGACCCTGCTTCTATCTGGAGCCTTCAACACTGCTTCTCTAATTCATAAGGAATTAGGATCCATCAGCCAGAATTGCTATGAGATCCATGTAAAATCAAGCCCAGCACAAACAGCAGAGGAAATGTTTTGTCTGAATATCACCTTGGTTCACATTTCAGGACCCACCAAGGCTGTTTCTGAGACAGAGAAATATTTCAGAAGGCCAGACCTGAACCTGCAGGTGGAGACATTTTTTTTTTCTTACCATAATCAGCTCCCTAAACTGTCTCTCAGCCATCTCACAGAGTGGGATAAAAGAGTTAGTTAAAGGCTTTTACCTGTGGAAAGCACAACCAGCTCAGCGCTTGACGGAGACCGCGATGATGATGACAATGAGCACCAGAACAGCCAAGGCGATGGAGAGGAGGCAGCACTTCATCTTCCTGGCTCGTAGCTGAAGGGAGAAAGACAGAGAAATAAATACATGGATGCTCAATGGGAAGATGGAGAGTAAATCCATGAGGAAATGTTGCTATTTTTTCATTGAAAAAATGGCTATTTGAAAGCAGTCATTGCAACATGGAGAAATTATCTGATTTTTTGATCTTCTGGTGAAAATCCCCCTTAAATACAACACCTTCTCTATACTGTTTTTTCCTGCTTCAATCATCATGTCACACTAAATATCCAGGCTTTGCCTGGAGGGCTGGACTTGGGTAAGGCTACTCAGTTTGGTTTTGGTCTGGGGGTGTCAGATCTGCTTTCTGGCTGCCAGGAGAAAACTGGCTCCTGTAAGATAAAGAGGTCTCTCTCCACTCTGCTGTGCAATGACATTGAGACAAGCAATAACATGGCCTGTTTGCAGGGCAGGCAAATATACTTCCAGTATTAACCACCCTGATTTCATTCCATTTAAGATGTGGTAAAAGAGATTCTACAGAGTTTTAACTTTGATGCCTGTTTCTACTTCAACCCACCAGCCTGCCCAGTGACCTCCATGGACATAATATTATTCATTCCTATTTAAAATCTTTTGCAGATAATTCAATTCCTCTTCTTCATTTTTAGATAGATTAGAAGGAGAGTGTTTCCACGATCTCACAGTGTAAGTTAACTTCTTATCCAATAAACACACAAAAAAGTATCTTCAGCAAAACAGTCAGCTCAGACATTTTCCTTGAGACCAGATCAACCAATCCTGCAGCCACCAGACTTGGTAACATCCTCTTCATATGAAAAGACATATTTATTTATTTTTCAACCACCAACCAAACTAATTCTTCTATTAAAGTGTGTATTTCCAGACTATTTTTCTTTTCCCAGTAAGACACTGTGTTGTCCTGCCTCCATGGTAGATAATCAGGGAGTCATCTTGGCTCTCCATCAGCTTTTCAGTTACTCACACAGATATGTTTATTTTGGGTTCTGGGGAAAAAAAAAAAGTTCTTTAAATGTATCATCCCATGTGCATGTGTTAAGAAGGTTCTTTTTGTCAGGCATTGACAGGAAGGGGTTTGCAAGGGGATTCCCCAAAACTTTACTTTGGAGTACAGATTTGTTCACACTTTTCCATCAGTTTACTGTGAACCTTCAGGGAGAATAAAGGTGGACAAGGGCTCACAGAAATTGTTGTGAGGCCCTGGCACAGGCTGCCCAGAGAAGCTGTGGCTGCCCCATCCCTGCAAGTGTTCAAGGTCAGGCTGGATGAGCTTGGAGCAACCTGGGCTAGTGGAAGGTGCCCCTGTCCATGAGAGGCGGTTTGGAACTGGATGATCTTTAAGGTCATTTCCAACCCAAACCATTCTATGATTCAGATTCTCTTAAATGTTTTTTCCCCCCACAAAGTGATTTTTCCTCATGGTAGCTCCATATCTGGAGCTTTCCTTTCTAGAGGGGTAACTGCAGTGCACTCTGAAAGCTCAGCACATGAGACAACAGGTCTGCTAAGACATCCCCTCTTATTTTAACCTTGATTAATTCCAGGTCAAACCAGGAAACCTCTGCTCCCAACTGCAAACTCTTTCAAGGCACTTAAGTGCCCTTGTCCAGCTCTAAAACATCAAAGCCTGTGTTTGGTCAGCAGAGGATGCTGATGGGTCATTTAACCTTCAAGCAGCAGTCTCAAATAGTCCTGAAAAGAAGCTTCAAAGGCTGCACAATAATCACTTCAGAGGGCTTTTCCAGCATTCCCTTTGCAGAGAGACTCTCTTGCTTTCCTCCTTCTGCACTTACAAAGTCCTGTTCACTCTAATTTTGCATTTACATATTCTCTCCCCCTTCCTAATTTTCTTGGTTTTAACCAACTAAAGCAAACATAAAACTCAACCATCAACAGACTAAGACTGATCAGAGGCAGAAGAGATGCAGCCCAGCCTCTATTCTGGTATTTGGTCCACATTTTATGAGCTTGTCTGGGCTGGTAAGTCAGGATAATGATTCCTGCTGCTTACAGTATCTCCCAGTGGATTTAGTACCACTGTCCTTCACAGCCTTACAATCTAGGGCAGGATTCTTCTGTTTATTCCTAGTTCTTTTTTCTTATTTTATATTTCAGGAAGGAAAATATTCAATACTTTGAGTTCCTTTAGTCTCCAGCCATAAATCTGTCCATGCTGGTGGAGCATTAGAAACTATTCCTGAGCTCTGCCTGATCATACCACCTTTCCTATAGATCCTGAGGAAGAGTGGCTGGATATCCCAGCTTCTTTTTGTCACTTAGTTAAAAAAATACTGATATCTGATCAAAAGGCATCAGCTCCCTTCACTCTACAGGTGCCCAGGCTGCTTCAGGAAGGGCTGTGGAATCATCCCTTCACATGTGACTTGACACAAAGCTTGGGCCTGATAATCTTGGAGGTCTTTTCTAACCTTAATTAATCTTAGAACAGAGCAGGTTGTACAGATTCTCTCACCAGACAGGATCTGCAGACCATGGTGTGGGCACCCTCACCTGAATATTACATAGATCCAGATTAATAAACAACATACATAATAATATCACATCTAACAGCTCTGGTTATTATTCCCAGCTCAGGGTAACAGAATCTGAGGTTATAAATGGTATCTTGGTGCCCCACTGTCATTCTTGAGGGAAATTGGGACACAAAAAGAAACACATGCCCATATTTTTAATAACACCTAGGCAACAACACACACTGGAAGCACATCAGCATCAGAAATGTAAGCATTCAACAGCTAGGAAATGCTGCATTTCCCATTATATATTTCTTATTATTTTTTTTCTTATCTCTCTCTCAGACAGGATTTCTGCCTTAGTCAGTAAATGAGTCGTTATTATGCTGTGTATATCATGTTTCTTTATAAATTTTGTATACCTGTTCAGGTTTCCTTGGGACATCTATCTAAAGCAATGTTCACACGAGACCACACAAACCTTTCACTTTGTGCAAAGGTCTTAATTTTCCCATGGGAGTTCCGTGACAGCTGAACCATATAATTAATACTTTCCATCTCAAACATCCCACACGTCAATGCAATGATTGAGTTGTATCCATTTTAAGTGAAGGAAGTGGAGACACATTTCATGAGGGAAAGCATAGCTGATATCAAGAGAACTCCAATTTTCCAAAGGAATAAAAAATTAATAAGAATAAAAAAGAAAAACAATAAAAATTAATAATAATTAAAAAAGAGAATAATAATAAAAAAAGAAGAATAAAAAAATAATACAAAAGCAAATGTGATTCATCATGCCATTCCTTGGATCAAATTTAATCTACACTTACATGGAAATGGTAAATAATTTCCCAACCTGTAATGGGATTATTTCTCATGCCAGATCCTACCAGCTTTCCGCCAAAGCATTAGAGGTCTCAGAGCAGCAGAGCCACAGCCATAGAAAGGTTAAGGACAAATGAAAAAAAAAAAAAAAAAAAAAAAGAAGAAGAAGAAAACCAAACAACCCACAAAAAGCCAAACCACCTGTAAAATGAATCATTTCTTCTACAACATAATTCGTCAGAGAGCTTTGCATTTTTACAGCGTTTCCCACGCAGCCGACCAACACGCAGCAATTCCACCCTTCTTTTTTTTTCCAGCTCTTTTTACTTTAACTGCTGAAGATCTTTTTTTTCTCACTCTGCATTAGTGCTATGCCCCATCCTGCTTAGCTCTCCTGGGCACAGGGAGCTCTGAGGCACCGTGACCCCCTCTCAGTTCCTGCAGCTACGCCCACAGTCGCTCCCAGGAACAGTCTGAGATCATTTTGCCCAGCAGCTTCCACTTGAACTTGAAGCACACTCGGATGTTCACAAAGACAAGGCATTCCTTGAACAGCAGGTGGATCAACACCTGAAGTGCACTCTTAGGACAAACTGAACTTTGAGAGTCTTCCCCTCAACTTCAAAGAATTATCAAGAAAACCCGAGTAAGTGTTTTGTTGTTTGTTTGGGTTTTTTTCTTCTCCAGAGACTTGGAGTTTTTGCCAAACACTCCTAGAGGTCACATGGCTGCTTTCCCCATCTTATTACTGCTAAATGGCAAAGCTCTGTCCACATACAGGAGCTAGATAGAGTTTAACAAATAATAGAATTTAGCAAAACCTCCTAAAAAAACATGTTCTGCCCAGGCAAACTTGTATTCTGGCACTCCCCTTTGGAAAACACTGACTCCTGTTAACTTAAAATGAGTATCCAAATAGAGATATAGAAATCAAGGCAACAAACAATTTCAGGCTGAATTTGGGAAAAGTTCAAAGCTACCAGACTATCTTCTTATAGAAAATGCCTGGGAAGTAATTATAAGCTCAGTATCTGATTTAATTTTAATTATATTAGCTTATTCTAAGCCTTGAATGCTATGCTGCAGCACTGCTCTGGTTTTACAGCTCTGTTCCCAACCTGTTGTAAGTCCATTACCCAGAACACCTCGAATTTGTTGATTAAATTGCAGCTAATCTATTTTCATTGTACACATTTTCCCAAGATGAAAAGAATGCAGCGTGGGACAAAAAAAAAACCCAAAACCACAACCTAATCCTGTAGCAAGATGTAATGGCTTTTTACAGTTATTTTTGCAAGGCTCTCGGGGTTTTTTAGTAAAATAGGTAAAGATATATTTTAATCCTGGCAGAAGCTCTTTAAACACACATGTGAAATAGGAGTGAAAAGCAGGGAAGGCTATTTAGGGACACAGCTGAGAAGCACTTTATATTGACAGGAAAAACGGGATGTGACTGAGCCTGGGAGAAACCTTTCCTTCACTGTTTCAGAAAATGAAGCTGCAAGTCATATTTTACTACCTGGAAGTTATTTATTTCTTGGGGGTGAAATGTGGGGAGACATTTTAATTATGTCACAACAGATAGTTGAGTAATTAAAAACCATTAAAGCCCATTAGGGCCCCAGGCCCAGAGAAGCAAGTTTCATCTTGTGAAATTCTTAAGCAAATATATTTACAAGGAGAAAAAAATGTTTCCTTCTTAAGGATTCAAAA